AGGGAAGCCTCCTGCTCGCTCCAGCTCCATGGCTGCTGGCCGCCATCTTGGTTGGGTTAATTTGCATATAGTCGCTCTGATTGGCTGGTGGGCGTGGCTTAAGTCATAGCGAAGGTACGGTCAATTTGCATGTTTGTCTTTTATTAGTGTAGATATAGATATCATTGGCTTGGTATTTAATATATCCATATACCATTGGACTGATATTTGATATAGCAGTAATTCATTGTCCTAATACTTCCCTGCAAGAGAGGCTGAGAAATATTGTTGGGCACTCTGCTGCTCAGAACAGACTCAGAGTTCCTATTATTAAAGAAGAGAAGAATAATGACTACAAGTTAGGCAACTAACAGCCTCTGGCATAGTAAGCATTACTCAATGCCCATTATCAGCACTTTGGCTATTGCAAATAACTTTATCATGAGGTTCTATAAAATGGCTAGGATAATTAGTCATTTGCCTCTTCTGCAGACTTTGCACAGGTTTAATACACATGAATGATGGAAAGAAATCTACATCCTTACACAGTACCTCTGGCATGTTCAACAAGCTTGGACACTATACCAGGGGCCAGATATTTGATAATCATGGGACTGATTTTTGTGGCCTCTGCAACTTGGCTTCACCATCAGTCCATTTGTCCTAAAGTCCCAGATCCATGCTTATTAACAAGATGAAAAAAGAAAATGCCATGTTAATTCTCTGTCCATCTGCTGGAGTGCTGACATGGCACCAAAAAATTAAAGTAATTGTGCTTCTTAAAAAACACACCTAGACATGAGGATCCTGTCCTTATCTTGGTGCTCATGCTCTCTCACTCTCTCTCTCTCTCTCTCTCTCTCTCTCTCTCTTCATTACTAAGCAGGAATTCTCATTTGGAATCTTCATTCTCATTAGGAGTCTGCATTTGGTTTCACAGATGCTGATGTTGAGGACATCATGTCTAATAGGACTTGGTGGCCTGGATTTCAGTTATATTCTCACCTATGCTGCTTTTGTACTGACTACTCAGATGAGCTTTGTCTGGAGTTGACTTTGACTTGGTGGTATTTGAGATTAGACAGCCCCATCTTCTGGTTCATTATTGCTGACTTCTTAAGCCTGGGATCCATCCTCCTAGCTGCACAGGCTGAAGCTGACTGTTGCAACTGGACTTTGAACTTTTTGGTACGAATATTTTTTCTTCAGTAGCTATGAGTGAATGTGATGAGAAAGGAAGGCAGCGTGTCCACGGTATCAGTGGAATATCAGGGCCAGATCAAGGAATCTTACTAGTAGTCATCAATAAGATTAAAGCAAAGATAAAAACAACCACCACCCTAGAAACAAGAACAGTTGGGTGACAGGTTGGTTCACTAAAGGTCAGGTTAGAGGGAGAAGAGTCAAAGGTCAGGGAACGTAGGGGTCTTTTGGAGCTGAAGTGAAGAACAATAACATATAACCCAAATCAGAGCTCCATGAAGCTCCATGTAGAGTGGACTAAAAGCCATTAGCACAACAGTGTAAAGTATTTGCAGTCCTAAATCAGTATTAGCTTGATGTTTATTTTCCTAGTTCTAGAAAGTGCATTTGGTTTGGGACTCAAGTTCTCATGACTAGATAGGTATTTGTTAATTCAGTGCTCAGATTTTCTTTACCATACTCTCTTTATTTCAAAGTTCCTAGCATTGCAGAACCTTTCCTTTGAAGAGTTGATTTGTGGAGTACTTCTGTTAATATGTGTGGTAAGTATTCACCTCTTTTACAATTTAGATAGGGCTTATTTAAGCACCAGAGAGATTATTTCATTTCCTTGAAACTAATTTCAAAGTCTTAGGCTAAAACACTACAAACAGTACCAAGTATTCCACCTTTTGTCTTAAGAATGCTGACATACTTCTAATTTGGCCAATTTCTGATTCCAAGATTGGATCCTACTAATGGCCATTAGGTGTAATGAAAACCTCAAAATTTAAGGCCTCCACTACTACATGCCCTATTGTGAGATACCAATTAAAAGGTAAAATGGCCCTTCAGAACTTTAAGCAGGAATTGGAACAGTATTTCACATTTTTAAAAAAATCCCTTGGCTGGTGAGACTCAGTTATTTGGGTGTCATCTCATGCACCTGCCTGCTCGATTCCTGGTCAGGGCATGTGTCCCATTGCAGGTGATGTTTTTCTCTCTACCTTCCACTTTCTCTAAATATCAATTTTTTAAAAAAAGATGTAAGAGGCAGGATTATAGAACAACAACAAATACTCTGAATACCAAATTTAAAAAGGTAACAAAGAACTATTATATTGATGCCCCCACTTAGTTTTATTTACCTCTGTACTCAAAAATCTGTTAAAATTCTGAATTCTAGTCTCATCTTGCTGACATTGCCAGAATATCTTAGAGAAATATTTGATCCTCAATTTACATTTAACAAAGCAGTAAATGAAAGACTTAGAACTCCGAGACAGTCACCAGCCAAAAGGTTATCAATAATCCCTTTTATTTTCTATGTAACATTAAATATTATCAGTTATTATCTACTTCAATAGATTCTAGAGTGTTTTTCTTCATGTGGCTTCAGAAGTCCACACATGAAAATCCTTCATCTGCTCAAAGAAAGGTGGGCCAAGATCAACAGGGACATTAGCAAGTTGGGGTTCACCTTAAGCAAATGCCTAGAGTTAAAGTTATTTTATTTGGTAAAATAAAAATATTGGGCTGGGCCTAGGGAACAGAAGATTTTGGAGAGTCAAGACTTAAAAGTTCAGCAATGTGGGATCACATCAAGCCAAACCTTTACATTCAGGGACACTTCAATTGAGGAGCAATTTTGCATCCTGCATAAGACAAAGATGGTAGAAGGGTCATTTGGAAAGAATGGCCTAACAGTAATATGCAAAATGTAACCAACAGCTATTGATATTAACCAAATATTGAGGTGCTTATTTACTTTTCTAGCCTGTTGGTGGTGGGTTCTGGTTTATGAGATGTGGACAGAAGTGATGGCCATTAAAAATATTCTACAAAATCCTCCAGCTTTCTCTTGACTTTGGAGTAGACAGACTGACTCACATCATGTTTTATGTGAGAAATGAATGTTTATTGGGGGGGGGTTTACTTGTGATGACATCATAGCATAACTTTCTTCAATGGTGAAGTTGGAAGAATTGGAACCAGAAAGTGACTACTGCAGTAATGGGAGCCTTTGATGATAAAGGTGTAGGCTAGACTGAAAGAATTCAAAGAAAAGGATGTGAATCTATTAGGTGTTTTAAATGGAACTGGGTAAGAAGAAAAGTCATTCATTCAGATAAATATTTATTGGGCACCTATTATTTGCAAGGCACTGTGAGAGCTACAAAGTGCTTACAATTTAGTTAAGTCGACAATACATGTACATAAATTATAAAACCAACTTTATACCATAATGGTGAAAGGAATGGATTTTGAAGGTAGACCTGTTCAAGAACTGGCCTCACCTTTTACTAGCTGTCACCTTGGGCAATTTATTTAACCCCTCCAAACTCCAGTTTGCTCACCTATAAAATTCAGGTAGTAGGAGTACCTACTTAATAGGGTTTGTTTTTTTAATGAATATGTTTTTATTGATTTCAGAGAGAATAAGGGAGCGGGAGAGATGGAAACATCAAGGATGAGAATCATTGATTGGCTGCCTTCTGCACGCTCCCTACTGGGGATAAAGCCCACAACCCAGGCATGTACTCTGACCAGGAATCTAATCATGACCTCCTGGTTCATAGGTCGAGGCTCACCCACTGAGTCACACCGGATAGGATTATTTGAGAGGACCAAATAATCTCCTTGCAAAACTTGTAGTTGAGTGCTTACCCCATAATAAGTGCTCAATAAGTGCTAGCTATTAGTAGTAGCAGTATTAAAGATATCTAAAAGTTGGGACAAAAAGATCAGTGTGCAAAAAAGCTCCAATGAGAGGGACTAACAGCTATAAAAATAACTATTTGAGTAAATCAGTCCTGCTCTGATATAATTTTGTCTTTCCCTTCCTGTTATAGCCTCCAGTTATTTAAAGTGCAGGGATACCAGGGGCCTCAGATAAGAGGTGTGTCTGAGGATCACCTCCTAACATTTATCCTATTGTCTGAGAAACTTCTGCAAAATGTTGACTCTTTACAATTGCACCCTAATTTCCAGCATCCCACATCTGTTCTATAACACTGTATATAGTTTTTATTCAAACACTGTGGTAGCAGCGGCAGGAAAGGAGAGCAGTAGCCAGAATAGGTAGAATGATTAATTGATCGGTTTAAGATGAGGAAGACCTATTTTAAGTTTTCATGGAGGTCCTTTGACTAAAAATTTCACTCAGTTCAGTCTATTCCCTGTTTGGCATAGCGCCGTTGATGTTGAATAACTGATGATTTAGAACTAAACACTTTCCCACATACGCTGCATTCAAAGGGTTTCTCTCCTGTATGAACCCTCTGATGTCGTGTAAGCCGGCTTCTCTGGCTAAAGGCTTTCCCGCATTCACTGCATTCATAGGGCTTGTCTCCAGTGTGAATCTTCTGATGCTGTGTAAGGGATGAGCGGTCAAAGAATGCTTTCCCACACTCACTACACTGGAAGTGAGGCTCTCCAGCATGAGCTTTTTGATGTCTGTTCAGTGATGAGATACCATAGAAGGCTTTCCCACACTCAGTACATTCATAAGGCTTCCGGCCGGTATGGATGAGCTGGTGTCTAGTAAGAATGCTTTTCTGGCTGAAGGCTTTCCCACACTGATTACATTCATAAGGAGTTTCTCCAGTATGAATTCTCTGGTGTCGAGTGAGGGATGAACGGTCAAAGAAGGCTTTCCCACACTCGCTGCATTTAAATGGTTTCTCTCCAGTGTGAATTCGCTGATGTACAGTTAGGGATGAACGGTCAAAAAAGGCTTTTCCACATGTGCTGCATTCGTAGGGGCTCTCCCCGGTGTGAGACATCAAGTGTCTGCTGAGACTGCACCTACGACTGAAAGCTTTCCCACACTCACGGCATTTAAAGGGCTTCTCTCCAGTGTGAACTCGCTGATGTACAGTTAGAGCTGAACGGTTGTAAAAAGCTTTCCCACACTCATGACAGTCATAGGGCTTCTCTCCCGTGTGAGTCTTCTGATGGCGGATAAGGGATGAGTGGTCAAAAAAGGTCTTCCCACAATCACTGCATTCCTGGTCTCTGTCTTTAGTGAGAATTTTCTTGGGATGGGTTAACCCTTGCTGCAAGCTTTCCTCCTGGGAAAGGGATTTCTTACAAGTCTCCACTATAGGACTTTCCTTCTCTGTTTCCAACCCACCTTCTAGTGCATGAACTTCCAATTTAGTACACAGAGGACTTTTTCTTCCAAGCTTTTCCATTGACATTCCTTCTGACTTTTCTTCTGAATCACTTTGAATCTCACCTTGAATCTCAGGCTTTGTCTCCCAGTCTGTAATGGACAGAAAACAGAGATGCAGTTTTTTTCCTGGGATAGAAAATATTACAGCAGAAAGAAGAGGTACTATGATAAATCTGAAAAGTAATATGGTCACTGCATTGCTTGCTCCGCAAATAGCTACACAGTTTAGGTAAAGACTGAGACTTGGGACTACAGAAGAAGGCAGGGAATAGAACTGATGTTGGACATCTCAGAAAATAATTTCCATGGAGCATGCCCAGGGTAATTATGAGAATATGCAAAGTGGAAAGGATGGTGAGAAATAGGAATATCAAATTGTGAATAGGCAACATGACAGATTGGAGGGTAGCACTGGTGAAAAAAGAGGAATAATACCAGCCCCAACCAAGTGGCTCAGTTGGTTGGAGTGTTATCCTGTGCACCAAAAAGGTTGCAGGTTCTATTCTGGTCAGGACACATACCTAGGTTACAGGTTCCATCCCCGGTCAGGGCACATATGGGAGACAACTGATCAATGTTTCTCTCTCACATCAGTATTTCTTTCTCTCTCTCTCCCTCTCTCTTCCTCTCTCTCTCAAATCAGTAAACATATCCTAAGGTGAGGATTTTTTTTTAAAAAGATGAATAATAGCTTTAGATGTCAAAAAATTGAATCCTGGTGGGTGATAGAGACTAGCACTAGCCTGGCCAGTGTGGCTCAATGATTGAGCACCAACCTATGAACCAGGGGTCATAGTTTGATTGCCAGTCAGGGCACATGCCTGGGTTGTGGACTCAAACCTTAGTAGGGAGCGTGCAGGAGGCAACCCATCAATGATTCTCTCTTATCACTGATGTTTCTATCTTTCTCCCTTCCTCTCTGAATATCAATACAAAAATCTATTTTTAAATATATTTTAAATATATTTTAAATATCAGGGCTGAACTTATCCAATACAGAGAGAATAGCATGAAAGCAGAAGATCTGAATTGGAGGAAAAGATGATAGCCAATGCTCCCTCTCACAAACCTGCAAATAACCACAAAACGAAACAAACTGCCCTACCCTGCTCATATACAGTTACCTAGAGAAATGTTCTCTGGCCATCTCCCTTCATCAGGTCCATGAAGATCAATTATCCAAGGTTTATCCTCTCTCTTCAACTGGAAAATCACATCAGGTTGAGGAACTGGAAGTCCTGCTCATGGAGAAACAAACAAGCCAGGTATGTGACAAATATACACAACCACTCCAAAACTTCATCCCAGCCTCTAGGACTTTCAGGGGAGAAAACACAGAAGGCAGACCATGTGTGCCAAGAATGCAGAATACAAAGTAATGCAGAAAATGCAGGGACATCTCGATAGAGGTCAACACTAAGGTTCTAAAAAGAATCAAGTTGCACTTGGTCAAGAAGTTGATAAAATCCCCTTGAATGAATGTGTTTATTCTTTCTTCAGAGGTACATGGGCTTTAGCACTGGTAGGATGGGTGGGAACAGTCCTTGGCTCAGGGAAGTTAAAAATGAAAACTGATCATCTTGAGTAAAAACATGTAATGAAAGTGAATCTTTATTTGTTTATCCTTTAGTGATATGCTTTTATTTAAGTAAGTCGGTCATGTTCATTGTAGGAAAATTAGAGGTATGTACTTTGTATTCTTGTTTTAAAATTTCTATTCATTTCAGTACAGATATACTCTGTTAAAAACTGCATAATGAAATAATGTTGATTTGTAAACTTGGTATTTTCACATAATAATAAATTTAAAAATTATTTTATTTCAATTAAGCACAGATCTACCTCACCATTTTAATGGCTACCTGATACTATATTGTATGGAATAATATAATTATTTAATCTCCTGCTGACAGATAATTCAGACTGTTTTTAATGTTTTTCTATTAAAAAAACACACAATATAATGAACATGTATGTATAGCATGGGCTGCTAATCCTATTATTTACTTGGGACAAATTTCTAGAAGTGAAACTATCCATTTTTTTGTTTGTTTGTTTAATCCTCACTCACGGATATTTTTCCATTGATTTCTAGAGAGAGTGGAAGGGAGGGAGGAGGGGAAGAGAGAGATGGACAGGAAGGAGGAGAGGGAGAGAGAAATCACCGTGAGAAAAACACATCAATTGGTTGCCTCCAAAACTTGCCCCCACAGGAGCTGGGGAACCTGTAACCTAGATAACTGCTTTTTTTTTTCCTGTCCTGAACAAGGCACCTGCCCTTGACGGGGAATCGAACCCATAATAGTTCGGTCTGTGGGCCAATGCTCCAGACAGGGCTGAACTTATCCATTTTTTGGTTATATAGATTCCACTCCTAGAAATGGTCTTGAGGTCTAAACTTCCTTTGCATTGGACCCCCAACTTGGGAAAGAGAAGCACTTTCTTACCAGACCCTAGGATCATGTATCCAGTTGTATGCTGATTCTCTGCTGACAGAGAGGCCACATCCATCACCTCCCCGTGGCTTCTGATCTGATGAATTCTATATTCCTGAGAATTTCATCCCACCAAAGCCTCCGATAAAGGCTTAGCATCTCTCTTAACACTCCATGAACACTATTCTGTTTTCCATATTTAGCCTGTTTAAGCTAATCCAGGGGGTGTTACACTTGCTTTTTTGAGCTGCCTTGCATGAAACCTGCAATCTGACTCCTCTTATTAACACCTGCTGTTGATTGTAAGCCTGCTTCTGAATCTGTGCATCTCTCAGCCTCTTATTCTGGAAGCTCCTGAGATGTTCTCATCACCTGCAGAAGTCCAACTTTACTTCTCAAGAATACCTGACATCAGCAGTAATTCTTAACTTTCCCTTTGTCACGAAAGTCTCTAATTACAGAGTCCCACCTGTGGGCATCTAAAATGCACTTAAGACAAATATTCAAAATCAAACACATTTCTAGTGACCTACTCTGAGGCACAACCTTGTATTCCCCCGACACCCCACCCTCTTTTAAAGTGAAACATGTCTCTCCTCTGCTTCTCTAAGGAGAACTTTTCCTTCAACAAGATGGCTCCTCGCCCCACCCTTACTCTGGATGGAGCTGAGTAAGTTACCTGACTGATGAGCTGGGGGAAGAGCTGGACATAAATAACTCAGCCTCTTGTTTGCCCCTTCTGGAGAGCCAGCTCCCTCCTTATGGTTCAAGGAGCAAGTCTGTCCAATGCTGGGGTTCAGGATTAGGAAGCCCACTGTGACTGTACACCTAAGCCACATCCTCCTACTCTTCTATCTTGTCTCTCAGTGGTTCAGAACTCAGGTGGGAGAAGAGGGATCCATTTATTAGCCCCTCAATCCATTTTAGCACAGGACAGAGACCAGCTACTTATGGGAAGCGCTCCTTACCCAGTGAGATGATGCTCTGATAGTTCTCCAGCATCACCTCCTTGTAGAGGTCCCTCTGAATAGGGATCAGATGCCTCCACTCTTCATCTGTGAAAATCACGGCCACATCCATGAATGTCACTGATTCCTGGAAACACAATCACATTCTCCCTTACTCATAACCCTTCATTTTACATGGACCAGATAAAACTGTCATAAAGACAGCCCTGGAGGTTGTGAAGGGGGGGAAGGAAATGGTTCTGACAAAATAGGGCTTTGGCGCACTTGGGGAAAGTAGCATCGTTCCCCTTGGTCGTAATCCCACACCACCACAGTCACAGCTGAGCTCTGAGTATGGAGGCTGTTTTTGAGACTTACAGAAAACTTGCAAGAAAGAAACAAAGAATTCCCACGGACCCTTCACCCAGCTTACCCAAATGTTAGTATCTTCCATATTTGCTTTATCTTCCTGTCTCTCTGGAGAATATATTCCTATATTCTTCCTGAACTACTTAAGAGTAACTTGCAAACATGATGTCCCTTTACTCATTAATATCTTAGTATATATATTTTGTAAAAACAAGGGTACTCTCTTGTATAATCCTATCTAATAATAGACAAACATGGTAATTGACCGTACCTTCGCTACGCCTCCCATTGGCTAATCAGCACCATATGCAAATTAACCGCCAACAAAGATGGCGGCTAATTTGCATAGTGCAGGCAGGGCGGGACAGCGCCATCCCGCCTGCCCTGCCGCCATCCGGGCCTGCTATCTGCGATCCTGGGCAGGGGGGGTCCTGTGTGCGACAGGGCCCGAGGCCACTGGGTGGGGCAGCAGCGATCCGCCGGCCCACCCTGGTGTCCCATGTGTGACCCGGGGCGGGGCCCCAACCCCCGGATCGGCCCTACCGAGTGTGCGACCTGGGGCAGCGCCCCAACCCCCCAATTGGCCCTGCCCTGTGCGAGACCGGGGGAGGCACCCCAACCCCCTGATCGGCCCTGTCCTGTGCGGGACCCAGGGAGGTGGGGCAGGCCCCTAGGGATAGGCCTGCCATCTGCCACCCGGGGAGCGGGCCTAAGCCAGCAGGTGGTTATCTCCCGAGGGGTCCCAGACTGTGAGAGGGCACAAGTGGGGCTGAGGGACACCCCCCCACCCCACCTCCCGCCAGTGCACAAATTTTTGTGCACCGGGCCTCTAGTCACAGTATAATTATAAAAATCAACAAAATAGAATTGACATTTTACTATTATCTAGTCTACGACTTTATTCAAATTCCACCCATGGTCTTTTTTTTTTTTTAACATATCCTTAAAACATTGATGTTGATTAGATCATCTTTAGGATCCCTTTCATTTTACTCTAATGTTCTGTGATTCTGTTAGATTGCATGTTCACCCTACATCCTAAAACCCCAGATGAGTCTTCAATGTGTCTGAAAAAGTTTTAAGCCAGAGAATGTAATTCAAGACCCTATGCCTTTGTGTGAGAAGGGGGCAAGCACATGACTGTGCCCACCACATGCTCCTCAGGACTCATGACCTCACTGAGGTGCTCTCATTCCCCAGCCTAACCCAGCACTCCCTGGACTGTTTGGGGCCTGCTTTTAGTCCATACAAAGAGAAGTCAGAACTAAACTGGCCCACTGTTCCCCCAATCGGACCCGTACAATCGTTTTTTAGGCAAAATCACTCAGAGTGAAGGCCACAGGGGCTGTATGTCTGACAACAGGCTAATGGGAGCACAGCATGCGCTCAAGGCAAGAAAAGGTCACTGAGGGACACCACAGTCAAATGGGAAGGAAGCACTCCTTATGGAATCCTTCTTCCACCTGGTGGGTCTGATAAAAAAAAAAGCTCCAGAACAGAGAAAGAAAACGGGTTACAATTCTGGAGACAAATAAAGCATTTCAAAAACAGAGAAGTCTACATCACCTGGCACCTGGCAGTTGGAGCCACAGCAGCCGTTCCCTCCTGGGTGCTCTCCATTAGGAAAGGGCAGAGTCCTAAGGAAGTAAAGGTGTGGGATGAGAAAGACAGTGTGAGAAAGACCATCTTGTTTGTAGTTTTCTGAGCCAGGAAGCAAGAAATCTCCATATACCAGTAAGTTATATATTCATCCTCAACTTAATGCCCTACACAAAGGGAAGGAAAGTAAAGCAAGGCCAGGGGCAAGCCTCTCCTGCCCCAAAACCAGAGCAAAAGGCATGGATATTGCTATTTAGGACACAATATGGTGCTTGTTTTACCATAATCCTAGAGGCAGAGTTTCACTCCTGTGTGTGAAAAACAGATTAAGGCTCATACTGTACTTATAAAGTCACATTCAATATTGCTCGGAATGGTGCCTGGCTGGTGTGGCTCAGTGATTGAGTGTCCGTATGAACCAGGAGGTCATGGTTTGATTCCCGGTCGGGCACATGTCTATGAACCAGGAGGTCATGGTTTGATTCCAGGTCGGGCACATGCCAGGGTTGCGGGTGATATTCCCAGTAGGGAGCATGCACAAGGCAGCCGATCAATGATTCTCTCATCATTGATGTTTCTATCTCTCTCTCCCTCTCTGAAATCAATAAAAATATGATTTATATATATAAATTTCCCTGAATGGTTACTGGATAAAATGCATAAGAAATTTTATAAATGACTACATGGATAACATATGTCAAGTAAATACCCTAAGCCTCTTCAAGGGAAAAATACCCTATTTATAACCCTGAGCTCAAGGATGTGGGCAGCCACGTTGAGCAGGCCACAGGTGGGCTACGCACAGGCTGACTAGCAGACTGAAATGTGATCTGACTTCCTTCCTCATGAATGTAAACTAAGAAATGTCAGGACAACAAGTGAGTGCTGAACTGAAAGGATGTGATGGACAGAAGTAGCTATGAGGATTAGGGGAGCCAAAGTTATCAGGAAGCAGAAGCCATGAATATGTGGGAGGTTAGGGGAGCCTAAGTTATCAAGAAGCAGAATCCATGAGTGCGTTGGAGGCAGAGCCTGACAGAGTCGGGGAAGAGCAGCTCAGTCACATTAGTGATAAAGCACTGAAGCAAAGACCCAAGAATTCCTAGTCCCGAAGTACCACCCCTGGGCTCCAATTTGCATAGAGTCCAGCCTTATTTATTCTCAGATGTCCATAAGACCCAAACCTCTTAGGCTTTGTGTGAACCATCACCACTACTCTCTTTAGCTAGTATGTCTCAGTTTCTTATTAAAACAGTGAAATCAAACATTGCTGGGATTTAAGAGTGGGATGGGGAGAGAGTGTGGTCCTGCGAAGGAGGAGGAAGAGGTATGGTTTGCTGACTGCTCTCCTGTAGTCAAGGAAGTATGTTAACTGATCCTTATTTTTCATTCATCCAAACAACATGTATTCAGCCCTAACTATTGATACCAAGCCCCAAAACCATATGACACTTTCCTTGTCCTCTAAAAGCTTATAGCTTAGCACACAGGACAAACAAGTAACCAAAATAACATTTCACTGCAGAATGGCTATCAGGGGTGGGCAAACTTTTTGACTCGAGGGCCACAGTGGGTTCTTAAACTGGACCGGAGGGCCGGAACAAAAGCATGGATGGAGTGTTTGTGTGAACTAATATAAATTCAAAGTAAACATCATTACATAAAAGGGTACGGTCTTTTTTTTTTTAGTTTTATTCATTTCAAACGGGCCGGATCCGGCCCGCGGGCCGTAGTTTGCCCACAGCTGGGCTAAGTGCTGTAAAGAGACACACAGCAAACTATGAGAGCACATCAGCCTAACCCAGAAAGAGGGAGGAAGGAACAGAGCAGGTTTCCGGGCAGAAATGGGATCTAAGATGAGCTGTGATTTGTGGGAGAAGATTCTAGGCAGGAAAAACACCTGGTTTTCAAAAACAAGGAGGCAGGTCTTTACATGGAAAGGACTAACAGCTGTAACTACGTTAGAATGGCAGGTGTCTCGCTGCAAGCAGAGCTGTGGGAAAGGATAAGGATGGAGAAGCAGCCAGCAGCCAGCTGGATCCAGGAGAGCTTTGTATGGTCCCTTTTCTACACATCGCATGGGGATCACTGAAGGATTTAAGCATGGAGCATCATCATTAGATTTTAGAAAGATCATTGCAATTTGTATCAAGAGCCTGGAAATATACATATCCTTTGATCCAGCAATTCTTCCCCAGTTTATCCTAAGGAAATAAGAATATATGCAAAGTTTTGTCTTAACTATCATTTATTGATTGCTATGTATGGAAACCTTCTAAGCATTTAATCCTTACAATAATACAGAAAAAATGTGAAATATCCTAAATTCCTAAGTAGGAAATTTGATTAATTTATGATCCAGCTCATCTATACAATGGAACACCATATTAACAGCTAGCATTTTTTTTAGCATTTGCATTTGCTACTGACCAGGTACTGTGCTATCTTTTAATGAAAATAAGTCATTATAGGACAGAGGTTAAAACTGCTAGACAGACCTCGGTTCAAATTTTACCTCAGCCTTTTACAAAGCCTAAATTTCCTAAACCGCAACACAGTACCGACCTTATTGATTTATGAGGATGGAAAGGAACTATCATCATAAGGAGTATTTAGTACAGTGCCATTCCTGGGTCTCAGTGTTTCTGGAGAAACCACTCTTCAAATTCTTATTCTATATCTTCAAATGAGCCCTTGCCGCCCTAACCTGTTTGGCTCAGTGGATAGAGGGTCGGCCTGTGGACTCAAGGGTCCTGGGTTCAATTCCGGTCAAGGGCATGTGCTTGGTTGCGGGCACATCCCCAGTGGGGAGTGTGCAGGAGGCAGCTGATCGATGTTTCTCTCTCATCGATGTTTCTAACTCTCTATCCTTCTCCCTTGCTCTCTGTAAAAAATCAATAAAATATATTTTTAAAAAAATGAACCCTTGCCTAAAAGCTTTTACTGTTCCTGTCCTAGCTCCATAGCTACTCCAAACCTTCAATTTTAGCGGAACACTATACTGAGCTTTTATTATACTGAGCTTCACAAAAGCAAGTTCCAAGGGAGGCAGAACCATGAGGTAGAAAGCAACCACAGACCTGGAATTATTGATTACTTATGCTTACTTCATGGAGTAGTTGTAAATAGTGAGACAATTAATGTAAAGCATTTATCTTACAGCTTGTTCAATTAATGAAAGCTCCTTTCCTCTCTACTGCCCAATACAAACCCATTCATCCTACCATTCAATGAATATTATGCACTAGGCAGAAGGAAAGCGAGGTCAACAAAACAGAAATGTCTGTCTCTAGGACTTTGCCTTAGTATCTCACAACTGTGTCCTATGTTCTTTTCCACTATTGTTCTTGCGCAGAATCAGCTCCCTGCATTGCCCAGTTTTTCTTTCTCCAACATCTCTCATCTCTCCAGTACCTTCTTCCCATATGTTCAAACACATACAGTCCTCCTCTATCTGAAACGATCTTCACTGAATCCCATGGCCTCCCTCTAGCAAAATAGTTCTCATTTAGGTTTTCCTTTCATGACCAAACTTCTTGGATGAGTAATATATGCCTATCTACTACGCATCACCACCACCTGTTCTTCTTCTTCTTTTCTTTCTTTTTTTTTTTGGGGGGGGGGTTGGTAATCCTCACCAGAGGATTTTTTCCCCCCATAGATTTTTCTTAGAGTGGAAGGGAGAGAAGGGGAAAGAGAAGTAGAGGGAGAAAAGGGAGAGACACATCTATTGATTGCCTCCCGCACGTGCCCGACTGGGGTCAGGGATTGAATCTGCAACCCAGGTATGTGCCCTTGACTGGGAATTGAACCTGAGGCCCTTCGGTGCACAGGATGACACTGTGACTACTTAGCCACATCAGCCAGGGCACCTATTCTTCTTGAATCCTTATTCTGCTCCTGCCACCCTTCACACACCTGAAACTGCATGCTTGAAAATTAACAATGCCTCTCTGAGCTCTAATTCCAATCATCCTTCTCTCCTTATCTATTTCTCTGCAGCTTTTGATTGTTTTGACAAGTTTCTTCTTCTCTAAGTTGCTGTAGCTGCTCTGATACTGCACTAGCCTGACTTTCTTCATCCCACTAACACTGCATCTTTCTGTAACTCTTTTTCCCAATCTTGCCCTGGGAACATGGGTGCTTTGCAAGGCTGTCTTTATACAATGTTCTTCTTGCTAACCCCCAGAAAATCCATTCACACCTGGCACTCCATTTTCCACTCTCAGAGGTGTTTCCCAGTGTAGTCCCAACACCTCTTCCAAACTCACCCTGCATTTCCAAACGATTTAGGCGTTCTGCCAGGACCTTCAAACAATCTTCCCCTCTGCAACTCCCTACCTCAACTCCTCTCTGTTTCACATTTCCATCAGATGTTCTAGCTCCTTCCAGGTGCCCCACATTCAAGTTCTTTTAAAAAAATATAGATTTTATTAATTTTTTACAGAGAGGAAGGGAGAGGAATAGAGAGTTAGAAACATCGACGAGAGAGAAGCATTGATCAGCTGCCTCCTGCAAGCCCCCTACTGGGGATGTGCCCGAAACTAAGGTACATGCCCTTGACTGGAACCGAACCTGGGACCCTTGAGTCCACAGGCCGACGCTCTATCCACTGAGCCAAACCGGTTAAGGCCACATTCAAGTTCTTACCGCACTCTTTTCCTAAATCTTTCTTCCTAAGTCTAGTCACCAGGTTCTCTGATTCTTCTTTTGCTGTGTCATTTGTATTCTTCCTACCACTGACATCATAATTGGGGTCCATAACAGCTTGCTACAAGATGACTACCACTAACCATTCCTAGCTGGCTCCCTGTCACTAGTCCCTTCCTCTCTCTAGTTCTGGATGTGGCCTCTAGAACAACTGTCCCCAAATAGTTTATTCCTGTCAGTCCCTGTATCAGACCCATACAATCACCTGCCGAAATGTCTTGTCCTGATCCTCTATGCGACCTCCTCCATGAAGCCGCCCCTCACCTGGATCACTCGTGGAGGTCAAGGTAGGGACTAAATCATCAATCTGAGATGGTTTCTGGGAAAGAAGGACCGAAGTGGGCGGCACCCTACACGAGTGTCAGCTCCACCCACCTTTAGTAAGCACCCATAATGGGAAGAAGGGGCGAGAGGAGTTGAGTATTTTATGTTATGACTTTGTGGTCCAGTACCTGTAACTTTTTGCAATTTGGTCTCTGGCTCTGCTTGAGTGACTAAGTAGCTCTGCAGTCTGAACTCTGACTCTGTCTACCTGACAAACTGCGCTCCCTGTATTGTCTGTTTAATCGCTACCTGTTTGACAAGTTTGTTTCATGAGCTCCGAGGGAAACCGAGGCAATGGTCCTAGTCTTGTGACAGCCCTGCTGCCCATGTCTCATGATCACAAGCGTTGGCCATATCTCCTACCTCTACCTGCTGACCATGGATTAACAGAAACTAGAAAGACCGGTTGCTCTCATCAACCAGAAAATGTATAGTGTACACTTATGGCTTTGCTCCCCGTGGCAACCAATCCCTTAACGGTCAGCTTCTTGCGGTTTTTCTGCCTTTAAAAACTCTGCCCCACCTCCCCTGCCGTTCATCCTGGAGGCCGGCTCCCTGGTCTGCAAACCACTGCTGAGCAAAACTGTCTTCGGTCTCTCAAAAAGGCCTCCTGAAGTTTTCGTTGACAGACGACTCCCGCCTTCCAACCTGAAAGTTGGCAGGTGACAGACGTACAGTGTATAGTGTATCCGTGTGTATCTGAGAACACGAACACGAACACACACACAAACACACACACGCACACGCAGGCTCCGCCGTGTCCCCCAATTCTACTCCCACACCACATCCCCCAGGGTCTCAGTGTGCCCTCCTCACGCCGGGGCGCTCACTCCGCATCAGTCGCGTCTCTACAGCCCTCACCTCCGGGACTCGGGCGCTCAGGACCCAGGAAAACGGCGCTTCATCAGGTCAGGAAAGCAGAGTCTGCGCAAAGGGCTCTAACGCCTGCGCGCACAATCAGAGCTCGGCCTTCGCTCGGACTGCATTTCCCAGAAGTCTCCGCGGCCGGCGCGCTCCAGTATGACGTATGAAACATGCGTCGGCCTGCGCCTCTGAAAGGATTGGCGACCCTGAGGCGTGACTGTGCGGTGGCCGCAGTGAGAGGCAGCGGGTGTGGGTGCCGAGGCTGTGGTCACCCTGGCAGTGCTGACCACGCGTGGTGGCGTATTCCTCTAGTCCTCCGGTGGGGAATGTGTCTTTCCTCTGGTTTTCACCGCCCGGGACATGAGTCTTCTGGCGCTCGGAAGGGGCTTGTTTCTGCTTCAGCTTGTCCGCGGTCAGGAATTTGGTTCTGAGATGTGAGCCAGAGAGACACAGAATTTGGTTCCGAGGACGGGGCTGGGCCTGAGGCAGGGTATGTGCACATTCTTGCGCGGAAGAAGAGAAGAGCCGAGGACATAAGTGTATTTAACCGGGGAGCTGCCCGACTGGCCAATAGCTGCGGGCACACCAGCCTGCCTTCCTCGGTACCGCTGGAAAGGGCCCTGGGGGAGGCATCGCAGGGATTCTCAACCTTTGCTGCACAGTAATTGATAGGGAGCGTACATTCTGATAGAGCACCTGAATTAATCTGAAAAGTAATCCTATTATTTTAAATCTTAGGACACAGATACATATGTGAATAGGGGGTTAGGTTTCTCATGTGAATAGGGAGTTAGGTTTTTCTTAAGTTTCCCTTTCAAGGCCTGTGTGAAGCGATTGAGGAGGTGACTCAGGTGTGAATCCAGCAAGCAGAACCGATAAGCAGGGTCAGACTGACCAACCAGGAGTCAAAACATCATCTCATCAACATCACCTCATCTCCTGATGACTAAAGACAATAGCTGACGACTGCGGACCTCCAGGGCTGCCTCACCCTAGCCCCTTCCCCTTTATAATCCTGCACCTGCCGGAAGACAAAATTTGATGCTTGTAAGCACCCTGTCTTCTTGGTTGGCTAGCCTTCTGGATAAACGCCTAACATGATTCAGCCCTGCCTTTGTTGGACACAGCGACAGGCAGCCAGAGCCCAACCGGGGGTTTCCTGGAAACAGAATCACCTGAAGAGCTGTAGAGATATATGTTTTAAAAGATCTCCAGGTGATTTTAATGAGCAGCTAAAACTAAGAACCACTGAGCTAGAGCTTCAGGGAAAACTGATGGTCACATGAAGAATATGATAAAATCCTATTTCAGGAACAAGTCTCCCCTTTTAAACAAACTAACAAACTACCATAGGCAAGGCATTGTCACAACCCTTTGTGACCACTGTTTTGTTCTGTACCTTTAGTTTTGCTTTTTCCCGAGTGTCATATAAACAGGATTATACATTATGTGACCTTTAGACTCTAAGGCTAGGAAGTAAGGAGACAAGTCTGAGGTATGGTAAGCAAGCTCCTTTGAAATAGGGGTTCTTGTCAGGAGCAGCAGGAGGTGAGGGCAGACTGAAGAGGGCATTAAACGCCAAACTGAGGGGTGAAAATTTATCCTGTAGGCAGTATGAAGACTTTCAGCGACACAGGTAGGTGCACAAGAATGGTTAATGCAGCAGATATACACTAGAGCCGTGGTCGGCAAACTGCGGCTCGCGAGCCACATGCAGCTCTTAGGCCCCTTGAGTGTGGCTCTTCCTAAGCCTTAGGAGTACCCTAATTAAGTTAATAACAATGTACCTACCTATATAGTTTAAGTTTAAAAAATTTGGCTCTCAAAAGAAATTTCAAACATTGTACTGTTGATCTTTGGCTCTGTTGACTAATGAGTTTGCCGACCACTGCACTAGAGGAAGGGACCAATTTTAAGCTGAGACTAGCAACAAAGTTGTTGCAGGCATCCAGGTATATAAAGTGACTTGAGCGGGGGTAACAGAAGGGCACTGGGGAAAAGATGAGATAGAGCAAATTAAGCTAATGTAAAATATTTGCTATTTTTGCTCCTGTGAACCTTGGCTATCTGGGAAGAAATACACATGATTTTTAGCCTTCTAGACTGGCATCCTGATCTCAGCTGTCCAAGGTGGCTCCTGTGCATCCCACCTGCCTGCTCCCCTCTGCCTTGGCCAAACTCTTGGACCCCTAGATCCTGCCTGTCTGCATGGATCCACTTTAAACTGGTTCCCTGAATTCGGGGCTCAGCCTTCTCATCTGGACTTTAAATGTCTGAGGACTGTCCTAGTACAAGCTAACTCTTTTTAGTCAAGATGACTCTGATCTATGGTAGCTCCCGTTCTCAACCTAAATTGCAGAGGCAACATGATATGAACCTGAGAGCCAGTAAACTTAGGGTAACTATTACGGTGGAGTTTAGCAGCCACTTCTGCACAAACTGCATGCAAACCACTTCAGGAAGAAGCCTGCACTGAATGGCCTCCTGCACTGTTTCTGCCATCTCTCATAAAGGAGTCCTGGAATCTTATTTCAACCAGTAGGACGGAGGCTTTCCCTATCCAGTTGGAGCTGCATAGCTCCAACCAACATCTCTATTCTGATCAATCATGTCAGTGCCTTTTGGACCAAACTGAGAGGATTTGGATTTACATGGGAACAGACCAATCAGGGACCAGGGGTGGGACCTTCTGTCTTTATAACCCAGCTCCCCTCAGGCTCTAGGCAGGCCCTTGTCCTTTCCACCAAAGAAAGATGATTGTGTCTCCCTGGCTGGGCTGAACCATGGAGATGCTCACTAAAGCAGAGCAGACCATTGAGGAGCAGAGCAGAGCTGTCAAGCTGGTGAGGGGCCTGGCCCCTGGGCTAGCTCACAGCTATGCTCCATCACATTTGAGCTGTTTTTTTTTGCTAAATAAAATTCCCTTCTTCACCACACCCCAAAATGAGGATTCCTGTTAGGACTGAATTGGTGCCCACGTCCATCCCTTGATAATATGATCTACTTTCAAGGTTACTTCTACCTCCTATGGAAACCTCCTACCATTATCAGTTGATCAAAGCAGTGGTAGGTCAGCCTGGATTCAAAGGAGGTGACATGAACTCCACAACTAGGCAAAGGAATGACATGCAAGCACATGAAGAGAAGGACATGATGGGGGGCCACCTTAGCAGGCACCCTACCATACACGAATTATTTAATCAGCAGTTCTCCCTCCCCAATCAATCCCTGTGTGCCAGTTCCCCAAACCCCTGCCAGTACTGAGCGTGATCAACCTCTATGGCATAGAGTCTATGCTTTAAATGGGCCAATTTGATGTTAAAAGTCTAGTTAAATGGGCCGCATCATAAAAGAGGCAGGAGTGAAACCAGTTGTTTAGTTCAGCAAAGAAGAAAACAGTAGTAGATGAAGCAACCATCAATCTTGATAACCTCGGGCTCTAGCTTGTCACTAGTTTTGCTTTTCTGTATTTGAAAAATTTACACTAACTTTGAAAATCGGAGGTTTGTCTGAGCAGGATTCCTAGCTTCCTACAAGACGTCCGTGTATTTAAAACTGTGAATAAAAACTGTAGCCCAGACTTGGTACACAAGTGTGTGGCCAAACCTGAGAATCAGAACAAAGCGAATGAACTCCAGAGCGCGACTGGAGGGGGTATGAACGGCTGGCGCCATAGCCCTTGTCTGCCTTACCGCGTGGGCCTCCACTCAGACCCATTCCCTGCCGCCTGTGTGTCGCCCACCCAGATGCTAAGTCCCCAGGCCCAGCGCGTGCGGGCGGGACAAGGAGGTCAAAGGCCCGCGCCCGTCGCCTCAGAAACCGCGTGGCCCCGCCACCTCTCGCGATAGAACGCTGAGCTAGCCCTAGCCCCGCGGCGACCAGCCCCAACCCCGCCCTCGGGTCCTCACGTGAGGACCCTGCGAGGCTGTCCGAAGCCGCGCCGGACTCGTTTCTTTCGGTGCCAGTCCGGACAGTTTCCCACCCCGGGCTGCGCTGCGGCGCTGCCTGCTG